TTTTTTTTTTTTTTATTTTTCAACAAGCTGTCCACAGATTTTTATTAAGTATTATTTTTAAGTTATATTTGTTAGTGAGGATATAATTGGCTACATGTACAACTTTAGTCGTTGTCTATTTACAGGTTCTGCCATATAGGTTACCTACCAATTGCTATACCTAGTATCTGCCTGTAGATACTCTATTTAAACCCTCTAGCATTACAGTGAAACTCTATTTTTAACCTAATATTTATTTATCTATGCTAATCTTGTGCTGCCTCATCTAAGGACTACTCAGACCAACTTGTGCCTCAAATTAACTTCATAGGACTGAGCTCTATCACAAGGTACCCACTTGCATCCTATTCCAGTGAGGGCTTGCAGATGACCCTAACTATGCTGTGCTATATCCCAATTAAGCTAGCATATACCCTTATCGGTGTTCGTACAAACCCAGTTCCTTCTGTAGCTCTTCACCAAATTGGTCTAGTTCTTCTGAATATTTTAAGAGATAGATCCTCCCAAATCCAGTTAGCTACCAAGCCAGGTTGGTATTGTTATTTGTGTAATGTTACATCACACTTAACTTTTCTGTTACATTATAAACTTACTCGTATCTACTTGGTTTACATTCTTTATTTCTAAACTTCCTCTAGATCAAGCGTCAAGCTGACGTGACCGTTAAAATCCGTACTAGATCACCTAACTCAGGATTTCTATCATGCAGGTTCTTTGCCTGTAGATCCTATCAAGATTTATTCGTGTAATGTTACATCAGACCTGACTTTCCATTATACTTCTAATACCTGATGATATTGGTACAACATGATTTATAGAGTTACAACTCCAGAAGCGAACAGGGTTTATCATAAGTTGAATACAAAGGTCTAAGTAATTATTCAAATTCGTTAACAGTGGAATTTGAACTCCAGACCTCTTACATGACAGTTCAACAACCTAACCGATGAGATCGATAAAATATTTGCTACAATAACGGCAAGGGATGTTCAAAAAGTGTGGCAACAGTTCCTTGTTAATATTAATATTCCAGCTATTCGTGATGATTCTACCGTCTCCAATAATTATGAAAAATTGCTAACTGATATAGTGCGTGCTGGAATATGGGCAATAAATTTTTATAATCTGAAAGATGCTCAAGCAGTGTTTTTTAATTTAAATAATGATTTATACACTGTCAATTTGAATGTTTTAACCCTTAGTGATTGGAATGTTGCAACGTCAATTGATTTAAGTCGTTACAACTTTAACATTCAAAGGGGTACTGAGTTGCTTTAAGATAGCTTTTTTTTATTTTATTATTATTATTTTTTTTTTTTTTTTTGCTTTTTTTTTTTGTAATTTTGCAAAAATATATTAAATAAAAATTGATTTTTTGGCTGCTTTTAATTAATAAAATTTGGA